CGCCGCACATTTTACGAAGAGATCGCATCTCCACTGCATTCAACTTGCTTTTATGCTTCTTCTGACATACCCAGGTTTCGCTGCCATATAACAAAGTCGGTACCAACACTGCGTTATGTATTGCAAGGCTTGCACTCTTCACTACGCCTTGCCTTTTGACTAACGAAGTCAGGGCACCATTGACTTTGTTCCCGGCAGCGACACGCCTGTCCACATCTAAATCACATCTTCCATCCCGGCTAAAAGCACTCCCCAAGTATACAATTTCATTTACCTGTTCTAGACATTCCTGATTTACCCATATTTCACACTTCGTTCTCTCTTCGTCCCTTTCAAATACCAGAACCTTAGTTTTATTAGCATTCAAATGGAGACCTTTAATTTCACATTCCTCTTTCATACACGTGACTAATGCCCGCAGTTCTGCCTTTGATGGTGCAATAAGCACTGCATCATCAGCATACAGCAGACAATTTACTTTTATGTCACCCAATTTCACACCCAAACAGCTATCTTTCAGCTTCTGTAAACAGCTGTCGAGATACAGAATGAACAGCCAGGAAGACATGACACAACCCTGTTTTACGCCCGTTTGGATGCTAAACATGGGTGACAGGTCATGCCCTACCCGCACACAGGCTTTACAATCACAGTAAAGAGACTGCATAGCTTTTAGCAATCGACCATCCACACCATACCCCGGCAACAGTTCCCACATTTTCTTCCTTACAACCTTATCAAATGCTTTCTCAAGATCCACAAAAGCACAGAAAATCCTCTGGTTAGCAGCCAGAAGCTTTTCCGTGATCATGCGGAGAGAACATTTGATCCGTGCATCCTCTTCCAGGTCTAAATCCGCATTGTGCCTCCCATAGAAATCTTTCCGATTTCTCTTGCATCCTACGTGTCAAAACCTTCGAGTAAACTTTACTTGCTAAACTGGTCAAGATGATCGCCCGATAGCACCCGCAGTCAAAATGTGAACCTTTACCTTTATATAAAGGCACAATGACTGCAGATCGCCAATCATCCGGGACATCCCCCGTCCGCCAGCACAAATTGCACAGCAGATGGAAGCTGTCTCAGACGCGATTCCCACCATACTTGACCATTTTAGCAGTAACTCTGTCTAGTCTCGCAGCCTTACCACATTTCAAACTTCGAATCGCACGTTCAATCTCTTTCATACCGATGACCTCAGTGTCATCGAGGTCCGGGTCTGGCGTACCAGTCACGGCGTCATCCCCGGATCCCTCACTAAGATCATCACACGCATACATTTCTCTATAAAATTCGCTCCATCGCTGCATGACGTCCAATTTTTCTGAGAGGACGTCATTAGTTCTCGAAAGCACTTTGTTCATTCTTAAGGCTGTCGCACCACTTCGGGTCCTTCCAACCTCTTTCCAGAAGAGTTTGGAGTTCTCCTTAAAGTTGTGCGACAACCTTTCGTCCGCTTCCATTCTACACCTTTCACGCACTTCCTCAATCAATGCTTTCGTGTGAACTTTCTGCAGCCTATATCTTTCTTTCATCTTCTCTCTCATATCCTTATCATTACTAGAGGCCAAGTAGTCTACCATGCTTTCTTCTTCTTCTTTACAGCTTCTTTCACTTCATCATTCCACCATGCATCTCTTCTTTTACTACTGCCTCTTTTTATTGTTCCACACACTTCCGCTGCACTTACCATTCCATCCCTAAGGTTCTGCCATGTTCTTTCTACACATTCTTTTCTGCCATTGATGGTGTCAAGCTTTTCGGCTACCCTCGCATGATATTTGTCCCTAGTATCCGCTTCCTGAAGTTTCCAGCTTCGGATGCGACAGACCGACTGTGGTTCTGTTACTGCCGTCCGGTAGCGCCAACCCGCGAACAGACCCCTAAATCTAGTAATCACTAGATAGTGATCCGTTCCCAGGTCAGCACCCCTGAACACTCGCGTATCCATCACCTGTTTTCGCAGTCGGTCATACACCAGGAACAAATCGATCATACATCTCTCATTCTTTCGTTCTCTAGTATACATATGGATTTTCTTGTGATTAAACATAGTGTTTGTCACAAGAAGACCCTTTTTCTTGCATACCGCCAGTATAAGCTTGCCAGCATCATTAACCCTTTTATCGCCAAACTTTCCAAGTACCGACTCGTACCCTGGTCGAGCGGTACCAACCCATCCATTCAAATCACCACATACAACAATTCTTTCGTTTCCCCTAGCCAAATCTAGAACTTCTCTTATATTCTCCCAAAACTCCTTCAGCTCAGCCCTGGACGACGAAGCTACCGGCACATAAATAGCCAAAAGGAATAACTTCGTCAGTTCCAATTTAAAGCGAACCCAGAGAAGTCTTGAGTTCACAACCTTAACATCGACCAACTGAGAAGACAGCAGCACCCCCACTTCCTGGCAGGCGTTCTCGCTCTCCGGGACTCCGGACCATAGAGCTAACGCCCCGCCAGGGTACTCTCCAGTACCACTGCCCTTCCGTTTGGTCTCCGACATACACACGACATCTAATTCTCTTTCTTTCATTATTTCGATCAACTCATTTGTCTTATCTGTCATGCCTCCTCTAACATTCCACGTGCCAACTCTGCACTCTGTCCTCCACCTTCCGCCGTGTCGGGCTGTGCGTGACGGGTGGCGGTCCCCATCGCCGCTTTGCGCGCTGTATTCCACACCAACGGGGACGAGCTGGTGTGCGTCGCCTTGGGGGGACGCCCTAACCCTCGTTGGCATGGGTGCGCAGCTGAGTAGAATTGCAGCCCTGAAAAGGGCTGGGAGGGGTCGCGACGAGCACGCTTCTACAATGACCCCCTGCTATAATATGTATGTATTATACATGTAAACTTTTTTCTTGGATAACTCTATCTAATTCTGAATATATCATTAAATTCCGTTGAGCAGTTTAAAAGATCTAAGCTAACAGAGAGCTGAAGTGACTTCATTTTATACTATGTAAAGATACCTCATAAGAGCTAGTTATATAATAATATACACTAACTAGCTTTGCCAGTTCGGTCGCATAGAATTTTTGTTAGTAGTTTATTTACAGACATCTTCCTGGCAATCGTGACATCTATGGCATATAACCCTCACATTGGGAGAGGTGCATGTTTTTTAGTAGACTTTTACAGGCTGATCATGATGAAGAAGAATAGTTCTAGTTATTTTTAGACATCTTTTGGTTGTAAAGTAATACAAACTTTAGAATTGCTCCTGCAAGTTACGAACTAAATTGTATAATTTTATATTATCCTTTTACAGCCAATAAACTGACCAGAGACTGTATATACGTCATAAGAAGAATGAAAAATATTGCTGTCGAAGAAAATAAGCTTGAAAAGCCATTTTCAGAAAGGTTTCTTGCTGCTAAAAATCTAAACCATAACCTGTTATTTAATAAAAGTTTTAGCATAATGACACAACATTCAAATCCAAATTCAATCCAAAGGTTGAAAATAAATAAAAAATTATAAAATTTTAAATGTTGTTTTATTCTAATTTAAGACTGAATACATATAACAGATATTTATTCGCTGAAATTTTCAAATAAGTATTTTAAAATAAGAAAATAATCCTAGCATATCGACTTTTTACTTGTGCATCACTAAACTATCGATATCGACACTTAAATATTAGACCTAGTTACATCACTATACGACACTAGCGCTTTGCGAATTCATTAGAACCATAGACTAATATATAATACTGGAAATTAGAGAACTCATAGATAAGAGTGTATATACGGAAAAGAGAACTGTCCCAATCTGTCTCTGACTAGTACACAGTGGTTATATTCTCTTTGGTCTTTGGTATACAGCAGTTACCAGTATACCAGTTAAATAATGATATCTGGGAGTTTTGGCGGGAACTTGATCAGCGGCGGTTTGCTGCTCCTGTATTATTGTTTAAATAATGGTTTGAAGTGGACTTTGATATGTAAAAGCGGTGCGATTTTGTGTATTAATTGTCTACGCATGTGAACTATTAGTGGAAACAGTGAAACAAGTCCTCTGATGGTGATGGATTCTCAAGATAAGCTGTTTGTTTGCATAGGCGCCTTGAGATACCATCGCCAACTATCAGCTGTCTGCTGGCTCAAGTTGCCGTCAAAATCTCTCAAGGGCTGCACAATGTGACGCATCAACATATTGTGAAGCAGTGAACTATGAAGGATAATTATTTATAATAAACCGAATAAAAATACTCAAGACTTGGCCTAAAGGTCTAGATACGAGGCCATAAACTCCTATAAAAAAAATAATGATATCTGGGTTTTGGCGGGAAATTGACCGGCGGCGGTTTGCTGCTCCTGTATTATTGTTTAAATAATGGTTTGAAGTGGACTTTGATATGTAAAAGTGTTGCGATTTTGTGTATTAAGTGTCTACGCATGTGAACTATTAGTGGAAACAGTGAAACAAGTGCTCTGATGGTGATGGATTCTCAAGATAAGCTGTTTGTTTGCATAGGCACCTTTAGATACCATCGCCAACTATCAGCTGTCTGCTGGATCAAGTTGCCGCCAAAATCTCCCAAGAACAGCACAATGTGACGCATCAACTTATTGTGAAGCAGTATACTATGAAGGAGTGGGGAAATTACAATAAACCGAATAAAAATACTTAAGACTTGGCCTAAAGGTCTAGATACCAGGCCATTAACTCCAAAAAAAATGATATCTTAGTTTCGTTGGACAAATAATATTTACTCTCAATATATAATAATAATCTATAACCTGTCGGAAATATCTGCGAACCTGGCTTGATGACGTCATGCAATATGGAGAGATGGCAACGGTACTGGATAGACGATAACGGGCGGAAATATCTGCGAACCTGGCTTGATGACGTCATGCAATATGGAGAGATGGCAATGGTACTGGATAGACGATAACGGGCGGAGGTGCGGGGAAGCGCGAGGGGAAGCGCATTCCAGCGAGGTTCGCAGATATTTCCGACAGGTTATACTTGTTTTATTCCCTGTGTACATTTTACAAAGTGGACACCTGTGCAGAACCTGAACTGAAGATTGTGTGGCTAGGAAATGATTGTAATGTAACATCATTCGATAAATAACAATTTTCATGTATAAAATGAAGCAAGAAGTGGATATTGTTTACAATAAAGTTTGTAGTGCTTGCCTTAGTTCGGATCGTGATTTAGTATTTATAATAGGTCAATCAGATATTTACCAAATATTTCGACTACTAATGTATGATTTCGTGGGTGACAAGGTGAGTACATTTAAAACTTTGCCAGAGTATTATTTCTTTAATCCTTGTCACAAATTCACACAAACCACAATTTTATCCTATCACACAATTTTTCACGCTATCATTCAGTCACACCTAACGTACTTCGAAGTGACGAAATTTCTATAGGATTAATTTAATTCTCATGCTTCTGCTGTCATACCCAACTTTCACTACCATACATTATGCAAGGGACTATCAGCATTGTGAATTCAGATAAGTGAAATATATTTTATAAATAAATATTTAGGCTTAGCTTTCCATTGACGTCAGTCGAGTTTGGTGTTGATACGTATTTTTACAGAAAAGTTACACTATTATAAGCACACACAAAGTTTCAACATGCGGAAACGCGTAATTTTTGAGAAAAGAATTATTGAAAATTAATTATTCTTGCAATATTTATGTCTAATCCTACCATAAAACTGGTGCCATTTTGTAATGTCATTGTCGACGTCAATAGGGATGTCGAGGCAAGGAGGGAAGCCTGCAATTTGTTACGCTAAGGTGTAGAGGCTGCTCTTCCCGCAGCGCCGGAGACGTAGCAGTCTCAAAATAGATACAGAAAACCTGAATTAGTCCCCTTATTTTTTTATGATGACGGGGATTTTTTTTATCATAAAATGGATTCATATTTACATTATAAATGCAAACATGAAAAATATATTGATATTTTATAAATCGATTTTTTGGGAATCGATACATCAGCTTACAATTCGAATCTATTTAAAAAATCGATCTTTTTCGGAAAGAATCGACATCCCTACTGGCAATAATAATAAAAATGGCGTCAGTTTCACGGTAGGAATTGACTAAATATTGCAAAATTATTTGATTTACAATGTTTTTTTCTCAATAAGTATGTGTTTCCGCATATTGAAACTTTGTGTGTGTGCTTATAAAAATGTAATCTTTCTGTAAAAATACGTATCAACACCAAACTCGACTGACGTCAATGGAAAGTCGTACCAAATTCAGAAGTGTGAAATGTATTTTATATTATAAGATATATTTATTTATATAACATAATATACAATATTTTATTATATACAATATTAAAAAACTATAATATAAAAATAAAAACTAAAACTAATAATTAACATGCAGTTAACTCTCCTTGGTATCGTGCCAAGAATGCTGGCTGTGTTTCCTTGGTGAATGGCTATACTTAGCCTTTGAGCGAGAAAAGAACCAGCCCTCTTATCACCAGCAGCAACAACCAGTTGCAGGTAAAGTTCCTTTAGGAACTTCACTACACGTGGACCCCATGGACCGATAGTCTCTACAGCAAATGACACAAATATGTCATCTCTTAGAGACTCATATTTGCACCACTTAGTTCAGCTGCCTCTGATGCCGCCCTGGCTCTAAACGAGGTACCCCTGAGATGAGAGGCCACCAATGTGTCGACGCAAGTAGCATCCCATACTAGGGGTTTACCTCTGTCCCAAGGGATCAATGTTATAATGTCAGGTCACCTGCCATTGTCTCTAAATATTCCACAAGGTTCTAAAATCGAGGGAACATTTATGCCATAGAGCCATGCCGTGAAAACCTACCAGCACTTTTCTTACATGAATCCGTGCAAAAAATTTAAACCCCATGAAATCTAATCGTAATAAATTCCACACAGATGAAGTGTGGGGAAAAGCTACTTTATAGTATGACTACTATAATATAGACCCTGTTAAAATGTATTATCATAACCCATCTGAACACCATATTATGTAAGTGAAGTGCAGGAGATGCCTACTCACTAGATGGTGTGTTCAATGGTGGACTTTTATAGGCTTTTATAAGCAAACATTGCATGTGTCTCAAGCCAGAGTCATGGCATGATATTCGTCAAAAAATACTCTACAAATGTATAACATGTGTGCAACTAAAGGCTTTTATGGTGCATAGCTGTTAATAGGGTAACACGTAAGAAGTGAAAATTTCTTAGCTTCAGAAAATTGTAAATGTTATTTTTGAGTTATCAAATAATATTTTTAGGAAGTATTTTATATTAGAAATTATTTTTATCTACATATTAATATAGTTATAAAAATTTCATTTCTTGCGCTGTTTTACGTGAATAATAGTGATTATTGTCTATATAACACAAAGAAATTTATCAATACGTATCAATTTTATATTTAATCAGTAAAATTTTCAACATTGCACTCATCAATTTTGTGTATCTGAGCATGACGGTAACGCGAGTTTAGTGCTTTTTCCCTATCCCAAAAGTGCCCAATTTGCCTAAAGAAGTTTTCACTTAAAAAGATTTAACTTCAAAAATAAAAAAAAACGACAGTTTGATTCTTATGCGATCGTAGCCTTGGAAGCCTGTAGGTCACAGGCTTACCATCAGATGGACTTATTTAGGCTATGTACTTGTTTTTCAGTTTGAAGAACTGCAAGAAACGTTACAAGTGTGTTGGGAATGCCTTGCTCTATTAAGGAGGTTTGATAAATTCAAAAAGCAAGTTCACACCGCCCAGGAAACTATCCTTAGCTTAAAAGATAACCACGAGGTATGCTTTATATCTTTTTTCTTAGCACTTAAATGTCTACAACTGGACTTGAGTCTCTCTCATAAAAGATTGCACTACTGACGAAACGTCTCGCTCCTTTGAAAGCTGCTATAAGTATCGGCACGAAAGCCTAGCGGTGACCGTTATTGCGCATAAGTCGCGCTGAATGCCTCATTGCGCATTAGTCGCGCTGATTTGTTCGTACGTATCGTTCGCACGCGCTGATTAGCTCTGCAGTCGCATTCGTGTAATTCAATTTGTACGCGTCCCCTCTACGTTTCGTTCAGCCCTAGACTTACGTGCCGCGACTTGTACCTGTCGCTAATTTATTGATTTAGGCGTGGCGTAAATGATTGGTTTTACTGTTATTTATCAGAAGCCGTTAGCCGTATAGTTGTAGCACGAATGGGTCGACTCGACCGGGGAAGGACCACGCTCTCACAGAGTACCAGCGTAAAATAGCAGCTTGATGCTGCTGTTTCGTATGGTGAGTGTAGAGAACCGAAGACCCTTTTTACTGGAAACAAGGCATTCCATGTTAGTCCTCACGAGTGACAACGCATTAGCATTTTGATTCGTAGTCGAGGATAGATGTAGATGTCTATGGGCCACAGCAACCACTTAGTTTAGTTTAGTTTAGTTTACAACAGGCTATTTTCCGCAACTCCACGTCTATGCGCGTATTTTGCGCGGGAATAATGTAATTATTCAAGCCATGAGATCTCCCCAAAGAAGTTCAACAGTCCTTTGATGTTGCATGCAACTTCGAGGAGTGATCCCGGCATGCAGAGATGTTTAGCCCTGTATGTAGCGACCTTCCGACATATCAGCAGCACCTGGGCCGCCGTTTCTTCCTCCCCAATACATGCTTTGCACAGGGGACTGTCTGTAACACCTATGATAAATAAATGTTTGTTAAAGGAACCGTTTCCTGTGATAGCACTTGTTACTATTCTGGTCTGCAGCTTGTGCAGTCTCATTAGAAATTTGGTTATACGACTGTTTATTTCAGGCAGGGCCTCCCTACACTTACCATCAGTTGGACTATATGCTCATTTGTCACCCTAATCCCATAAAAAAGCTATGACATATTCTTGGCATTTCCCTTAGTCACCCCGAGGACTAAGATTGAATGCCTCGTTTCCAGTAAAAAAGAGTCTCCACTCTACACTCTCCATACGAAATACAGCAGAGTTAGGCTGCTATTTTATGGTGGTATTCTGTGAGAGCAAGTTCTTTTTTTAAATTTTTTAATTAAGCTGCAAATATATGCTCGTATTCTGTGGAAGTGTGACCCTACCTCGGTCAAGCCGACCCATTTGTGTTACAACCACAATATAGCTGCAGCGTGGCTCTACTACACATTACTGCAATAGTCAATCACCCTGCCCATCATGACTATTGAGGCATATCCTCCCTACAATGAGTGAGGCCCAAGTTCATTATGGACTGGGCTGAAGATAAAGATTATGTACGGATTGGATGGAATTTATGAATTTATTAAATGAAAGTGGTAAAATATCATTTGTTATTTTTCAGAATACAGACCATACCTATAGTTTTTCACAATCTCTATCGACATTGGGACTCACAATAAAGAATGGTTATGACTTTTGTTACGACAATAAGAATACAATTCAAACAGAATGGACACCAAAGATTGTCGCTGTGAGCTTCGGAAGTAACGTCAAGAATGAGCTGAACAATGATGAACAGATGTTGGAAAGTGAGTATTAAATATAATATTATTTTTCATTGAATAAGGGTGACAAACAACCACAAAGCCCACTTGATGGGAAGTAGACGTGGAGGCTGCATACCCATTTATGCTACAACGATAATATAGCTGAAGCATGACTCTAAGAAACATATAGTTTAGCCATAACCTTACTACACAGTATTAATATTTTACTGACATTTTAAAGGTACGCAGATGCTTGAGGATCCCAATATAATAGTTAAACCTCAAATTGTGATAAAACAAGAACCTATAAATCTCCAAGAGCATAATAAAGGCGATAATAAAACAGTGTTATCAAAAGTTACAATCAGGTATGTAATATTTAAATTTGAAATTAAATGTTAAGGCCTATATACGTGCCGCAGTTGGGCACATACCCCCTCTTATTTCTGAGAGGGTTTAGGGCAAGGAAATGTCTGCTGCGCTACCCCAATACGTGATTGCGGACTTCATGTGTCTTCTAATTATTTTTGATATGAAACATCTATAGTGGCGGGTCAGACCGACTGTTGGCGTGTTGTCGCGTCGTCACGCTATATGATAGTATGTATGTGTGTAGTATTTATTAGATATGTGTCATTCATTTCTTTCTAGTGACCAAATCATTCAAGTACTTATTCGTCACACATACAGGGTCATTTGGATCGATAATTCAAATGGATCAATTCAGGTTCAGTACTCTGTGATCTGTGTAGTCCTAGACCAATACATGAGATGCTCATTAACCAAATGTCGCCTTTATGGATCCCTCAGAACAATTCTTTTTGAAATGTTATTTATAAGAATTATACAATTAAAATTTAATTGTCCCGGTTCAATCGAACAAATCATTGACGATTGACAAATGTCTAGTATGTATGTATGTATGTAGTACGAAACATCTAATACGGCTGCGACTGTGCGACTCTCTCCCCACTCGGTTCGGCGATCCGCCATCGCTCGCTGCACTCAGCTCGTTCCGTGAATACAGTGCTGTTTACTACGGTACACGTAAGGGTGGCTCCACACCGGGCGCACGGGCTTGCGTGGCAGCCTCGCGAGCCAAATGCTCGGTCTGTGTGCCCCGGGATCTTATGGGCGCATGATGCCTCGGCTGAGCGTGCCTCGGCTGTCGGTAAACTGGAAGCGCTCAAAATTGCCTCAGTGTGCGCTATTCGATGTGGACGGGGGTGTCGGCTCGCGTGGCTTTTCTACAGATATATTGTGGGAAAGTTTCATCATAATGAACACTCAAGAGCAGTCGATTTGTTTTAATCCACAAGCGTCTTAACCTTTTTTTAAAACGTGACTGTTTCCTTTTTCTTAATAAGCTACTATAAAAGTAGCTGCAGCAGAAATTACATAACTGTCCATTTTGGATGCCCGAGAGCTTCTAATGGCTCGGCCGGCCTCGCGAGGCTCGCATCTGTGATCGCGTAAACTACTGAGGCTGCCTCGCGAGGCCAAGCTCGCGAGCCACAAATCGAGGCTGCCGCGCGAGTTCGAGCCCGTGCGCCCGGTGTGGACCCACCTTAACCTCGTGTATAACTTCAAAGAAATAATTTTAACAATAAAATTTGTCTGATAGTGATAGATTAGAAAGTGAAAGTGAGAAAGAAAGCAAAATTACACTATGACACATTATCAAGTGATTCAAGTCAACAGTAAGTTAATTATATTTTTATAATTAGAGTGTGCATTTATGTGTGTACTAAGATCGTGTATATTTGGTCTGCTTCAAGCGTAGGTAAATTTAAAATCTAGTTACTTAGCAAGTGCACGTCCTCAATTCAAGGACTTTGGCTATTTAAAAAAAATTAAAACTGATATCTATAAAAAATCAGGAAACTACACAATTTTATTGCTTATAATATTTTTAATTCAATTTTTAATTCATTTTAATTTCATTCCTATTGAAAATAATGTACTAAAATAATAACTTGAAAAGTAAATTTAATAAAGTCTGACAAAATTGTATTTAAAAATCAACTGATAGCAAGTGGCGCAAGAATGTTATTCCTATTTGTTTTTAATATGAACATTCAAAAATTAAATTTTCTAATCATGCTGGGACTTATATTGCACGCCTCATAACGCGAAGCGTTATTAGGTAGGTGCTTTACTCTCGATACGTCTAGGTCAAGCAATTTTGTGTTCTTAAAATCATAACCATTTTGCACTTATACGATAATATGAGTAGCCGTATATCAAGAGAACACTTATTAATCTATGTTATATTTTCTAAAAAATAATTTTATATTGGTACTTTGAAATAAAATGGTTAGAAAAAAAATTTACGTGGTCGTACGGATGTTGATTTTGTATGTGGTCACGATAACTCCCGAAAAAATTAAAGTATCGAGACCTGTCTTTTTTATTAGCTTCAGAACTATATCAACTGGTTCCCTATTTCATATCAATATCCTAATACTCGTAGTTTGTTAATAAATAATTTTCAACTTTTATAACTTTTTTTTTGCTATTAAAAATTTAAAGGCGGCTTTCATATTTTTTTAGCCCTTGATAGACAAAGGACAAATTTACCATAGAGCCTATATCGATTTTATACTTTGTGTAATCGATTTAATTTGGTAAACATTATTAATTTTTTTTGCTGTAGATGACACTACCTGTTAAAATAATAGAGTGCTAAATTTAAAACACCTAAATAATATATTTTAAAAGTCAGGAATACAATTTATTTTTTCATCAAAATTAAGTGAATCACTCATGAGGCGTGCACTTTTGGATTTTCCAAACTATTTAAACATTTATTATTGATAGTTCTTGAGTTTACTAGTATATTAAAACCACATTAAATTTTTTTTTCTGTAAATTTTAATTACATATTTTTTATAAATATTTCAGTACCCAACAATCATCACAAAATATTATTATTGAAACTGGACATAACCAAGATCAATTAAACACAAGTCATACTAGAAATGTTATGTAAGATTTTTACCATTTTTTATTACTCACTTTTGTAATCTTTTTAGAGCAAATAATAAGAATTAAAGAACGTCAACAACGATACAGGGAGCAGAACAGAGAAAAATTTAAACAGCGTGAAGCGGAAAGAAGAAAACGTATATAATATTTACGAAGTATTGTAGGACCATCTACCTCCTCAAACATTAATAGAATAGATTTGAATAATGAAGAAATGATTGCTCCTATTTCTCAAAGTTCATCTGGCTTGAAAGGAACATAAACATCATCTATAAAAAAAAAATGAACAAACTAAAGAAAATAATGCTCTCCAAAAAAAAAAGAAAAAAAGAAGAAAATGTAAATATATATATACAAGGGCTGATCCAAAAGTAATGATAATGAAAATAAAACACGGTAATTAAAGTTAAAATAATAATTTATTTTTCTACATAGTCTCCTAACAAATCAATACATTTAGTCCATCTTTTTCTAAACCCAGGATTCCGTTTGAAAAAAATTATTTGTCTTGACCCTCCCAAAACGCTTCAACAGCGGCCATTACTTCGCTATCGTCTTCGAATTTCTTGCTTCGGAGGCGTTCCTTGAGCCGAGGAAAGAGGTAGAAATCACTAGGAGCTAGATCTGGCGAATAGGGAGGGTGTTCGAGCAGTTCGAATCCCGTTTCTTGAATGGCAGCCATCGCAACTGCGGCTTTGTGAGCCGGTGCGTTGTCTTGGTGAAACAGTACTCCAGCTCGCAGTTTGCCGCGTCTTTTTTCCTTAATGGCCTCCCGTAATCTTCTTATTTGGTCTGCGTAGTAAGAGCCCGTAATAGTGGCCCCCTTTTCCAAATATTCTACCATAATTATGCATTGAGCGTCCCAAAAAACAGATGCCATAACCTTTCCCGCCGAACTTGAAACTTTGAATTTCTTTGGCGTCGGTGAGGAGGCTCGCTTCCAAGTCATCGATTGTTGTTTCGTTTCAGGATCAAAATGGTGGATCCAGGTCTCGTCCATAGTCACAAAACGGAACAAAAAATTTTCTTTATCTGCTTGGAACTTTTCGAGATTGACCCTCGATATGTCAACTCGATTTTTCTTTAGCTCGTCGGTTAACATTCTGGGTACCCAACGCGCAGAGACCTTTTTCATATGCAACTCGTTCGCAAGGATTCTTTGAACGCTGCCATATGAGATCCCTGTGACCTCAGTTACATGCCTGATGGTCACTCTTCGATCTGCCAACACAACATCTTCGACTTTTTTCACGTTGTCTTCAGTGAGGGACGTGGATGGGCGTCCTTCGCGATGTTCATCTTCAGTGGATGTTCTGCCCAGTTTAAACTCCTTAGCCCAGCGTGCAACTGTAGATTATGGAGGAGCAGAGTCCCCCAATGTTTCCACTAAGTCACTGTGTATGTCTTTTGAAGACATTTTTTTCAAAATGAGGTACTTGATGACAGCTCTAATTTCGTTTTTCTCCATGGTGATGTTATCTCTTTGACAGTTCGTATTCAAATGAATGTATCTCCCGGAAATCGTGATCTATTTATATGATTTTTTTAGGCGGAGGTAGTGAGTATATATGCAAGCAAAAAAATTTTTCTTTGAATTTTTATACGGACCTGAAGTAACCGATTATCATTACTTTTGGATTACCCCTCGTATATATGTATATATATATATACACACACATATATATATATATATATATATATATATATATATATATATATATATATACGTGGTAGAGCCATGCTGCAGCTATATTAGCAGTATAGTTGTAGCACGAATGGGTCGGCTCGACCGGGGAAGGACCACGCTCTCACAGAATACCAGCGTAAAATAGCAGCTTAACGCTGCTGTGTTTCGTATGGTGAGTGTAGAGAACCGAAGACCCTTTTTTACTGGAAATGGGGCATTCCATCTTAGTCTTCACGGGTGACAACGCATCTATATTTTGATTTGTAATAGAGGATAGATGTAGATGTCTATGCGCCGCAGCAACCACTTACCATCAGATGGATTGTGTGCTCGTTTGTCACCCATATCGTATAAAACAAATGCAGAAATAATTACAGAATTATTTACCCTTTCGAATATAGAATTTACAGAAATAATAAGTGAACCAATAATACGTGAAATAAGTACAAATTCTCGAAGTATAGCTGGCTTGCAAGAAATGCAGCATCTATTTGTTGAAGTTTCGCGAAATGAAAGGGGTCAATCGAGCACAAATGGAGCGCGAAAGAAATTCCGGATAACTACAGTAAATTCTAAATTTACTGTAGTTATCCGGATATCATTTCATTTTTACATGAGAGATTATTTCCGTACAGTCAGTCGCAGAGGTTCAATGATTTTTAAAACCAATAAACATAAACTGCCGTTGATTTTAGCTGGGAGTTTCAATGTAAATGTTGCGAAAGATGAATCAATGCCATTAATTACGTTCCTCGAAAAAGACTTTGAATTGAAAATTACAAAAAAGTCCTATAGATCATACCACTAGATATGGAACAACAATAGATGCAGTATTTATAAGATACCTTGATAATGTTATTTCCAACACTTTTGTAACATACTTCAGTTATCATCACATAATTGTCACAGTAATATCGTCAGAGGCAACATCGAATGCAAGTATTACAGAAGTCACTGATTAAAAGAATTGAGTTGTCATAATTTAAAAAAAAAAATGGTTGAATTGAAAATTTTTGTTTTTAATGGATATAAATGTTTATTAAATGAACAGTCGTCTTTTCTTGAAAAAACAAATCTTCATATTTTATTTTTCATATGTTATGATATTATTTGTCATATTTATTTCCTGTCGTAAATTATCCTTTTATGCATATTACCTGTACAAAATAATTTCGATGTTTCACATCTGCCAGGGGTCCCGAGACGGCTCATAATTTTTTTTCTTGTTTCTCAGACATGCTGGTTTCCTCACGATGTTTTCCTTCACCGCCGAGCACGTGGTAAATCAACACTTAAAATTGCAATTGGCAATTTCATTGGTGCCGGCGGAGATCAAACCCGGGTTGCTCGCGTGCTGTGAAATTAACAGCGCAATTAACATTATATAGCCCCTGAGCTATCACCGCTCCTGCTTTAACATTAAACATCAATAACTCCTATTTATTAGATTCCTTATTTTTCTTGTAAAAGATAAACTTTATTCTGTTGTTAAGCATTAAATCTTATTGTGAAATAATATAATTTCGTCAATTGGCGAATCCAGTCCCGCGAGTTTGGCAGAGCGTTTACGGTTATTTCCTCACCGCATGCAACATTTGCAAAAAATATCCGAATGTAGTTTAATTATGTTCTTTTTATAGGATATCGGGCAGTACTTGTAATAGTAGGTATTTTTAAACTGTGCTTTAAATATCACACTAGGCCGATAGCCATGACATAAATTAAATGAAAGATATTAGAGAACATACTTTTATTATCAATTACAAAGAAAAGACCACATTACTCTTATCATTAAATAGTGTAAAAAAAACTAAAACGAGATATTTTGATTGACTTTTAAATTGAACTGAAACCTCATAAATTATAATATTTTCAGTAAAAGACTTTATACATATAGTCCTTTTTGGAGAACATGGGGCGGTATTTATTAAAACATATTTTTTGTCCAAGCCTTACGAGGTAAAAATTAATAGCTATTACAAAAATTATTACAGAACTGATCTAAAACAATTCAAACTATGTACACAGATATTTACATGGTCATAAATCCCATAACAAGAATTTAATTTTAAAATCTTTAAATAGATATAAAAACACTAGATAATTTTGCACGATGCTACGATTGCTCTCACATAAAATACTCTGTTATGAACGCAGAGCCGTAATTATACTGGAAACACGTGGTTTCTCAATAACCAGTCACAGCACGAGGAGCTTGGACCCCCATCAGCTTTCTTTACTTATGGCTGTGCATTAGACATTTTTGTCGTATTCATTTGTAAACTTTATTCACGTCTGGGAATTGTTTAAAACCGCTAAATTTGTCTAACGATTTGCAGGTATTATTAAAATTACTCAATAAATTTATACGTGATTACAATTTGAGATTGCCAAAAGTATATTTTTTTGGGAATTTGTTTATTTTGGAGAGGTCTGGTAATACTTTACCGACAAAAACGTCTGATATTATTTTTTTTGAATTATATAAAAACTAAATTAAAAGATAAAAAAGAAATCAAGTTGCAAAAAAAAATACATTGTTTTGGAAATGTTTCTGCAAATGTTATATGATGCGCAGTGGCGAAATAACCGCAAACGCCGTGCCAGACTCGTGGTACTGGATTCGCCAATTGACGAAATTATATTTTTTCACAATTTCAACTTGCCAAAAGGACCTTCCCAAAATTGGTCGCCAGCTTTTAGACTTTAGGTATTGCTATTATAACGTTACTAATATTGCTGTTAACCACTCCTGGTAAGCTGAAAATGCTTGTGATAGGAGTGGTTCACGACATTCCATTCAGTCGAATGGCGAATTCGAACCCCCTTTTGAGTTCGTGGTCCGCGCCCTGCCATTAGTCTATTGCCGCTTTTTTATTTGTAGCTAATGTTTGTCATGGTTGCCACGCTTGGCAAGCAGGTTGGACACAGCAGTTTTTTAATTTACTTAGCTGTTATCAGAAGATGCTGCTGCCCATCACCTGGTTCAGTTTCCTTCTGGTGGTAGATATTCTTACACCACCACTACATGGTTAGCATCTTTGTATGGGAAAACTTCTTTTTCAAAAAAATGTTTTTTTTTTAATTCTCTTATTTAATAAAATACTAGTAATGCTATTAAACATTACTAACATTCCCTATAACCACTTCTGGTAAGCTTAAAATGCTTGTGTTAGAAGTGGTTCACGACAGTAGTCGGCGGTGGCGAATGGCGGATTCGAACCCACGACCTTTCGAATTCGCGGTCCGTCTCCTGCCATCAGGCTACTGACGCTTAATATAGAATGCCCTTGATATAGAAGTCTATTGCATGAGAATCGATTGAGAGAATGGGTTAGTAACTGTAGCTTTTAATTTTTTAGTTGTTATAGAAAAGATGCTGCCTACGTCCTGGTTTGATTACCTCTGTCGCTTCTTTCGACACCCACGGAAAGGTTTAGGATAGTTGATATTCCTACACCGCCACAACATTGGCAAACTATTCTCCCCCTTTGCTAAAGCAATTATGAACGACGAAGCAAACCGTTTAGTTCGATGACGTGAAATGTCGATAACAAAGGATTGTACCTGGCGAGTGTTCTTTTGTCTGATGGCAGAAAGAAGTGGGAGAAATTATACCAATAATATTTATAAATTTATTATGTTTCAAGCATCGGACCGCTGCCTGAGGACAGAACAGACTTGTCGCTGGTAGAAGACGTCCAGTCAAATGATTACACAGAGGAAAAGCCAGACTTGAAGGCAGGCTCAATGGAATATATGAATGATGAGGACACGGTAGCTATTAGGTGAGATTTTAATATTCTTTACATGTAACTAGTTGACTAGTGGACTAGGTGGTGGACTACAGCTTAGGCTGAAAGTAGTCCTACCATAAAAGCACTGTTAGGGTATTCATTACTTAGTCTGTTTATATGTGGTACAGTCAAGCTGCAGCTATATTAGTTGTAGCACGAATGGGTCGGCTCGACCGGGGTAGGACCACACTCTCACATAATACCTGCGTAAAATAGCAGCTTAAGGCTGCTGTGTTTCGTATGGTGAGTTTTCAAAGTTATACTTCTTTTGGGGCGTTCGGGAAAAATAATGAGAGTGAATTTTTACGATGCGCGCCCACACCGACACTTAATAACGACACCATGAAGTTGTTACGATGCGCCCGCACATTGACACCTAAAAGCGACAACTTCAGTGGGTAATTGTCTCTCAAGTTTTAGAGAATAACTTGCTACGTGCGTACATAAGTACACACACACTTTTTTATAGGATAAGTGTGACAAACGAGCACACAGTCCACCTGATGGTAAGTGGATACTGTGGCCCATAGACATCTACATCCATCCTCGATTAAGAATCAAAATGCGGATGAGTTGCCAGCCCTAAGGACTAAGATCGAATGCGTCGTCGTTTCCAGTAAATAGGGTTTTCGATTGTCTACACTCACCATACGAAACACAGCAGTGTTATGCTACTATTTTACGCTGGTATTCTGTGAGAGCGTTGTCCTTCCCCGATTGAGCTGAACCATTCGCGCTACAACCATAATATAGCTGCAGCTTGGCTCTACCACATACAAAACTCCTCTTACCTATTGCTGCCGCCAGACACTAGTACGTGGACTGCTGTGATCAGGTCTCAAGGGTTTAGACTCACGATAATTATAGCATTTAAATCTACCTGCTAGTTATTGGATTTTTATATCATGAGATCATTGTCAAGTCATTAAGTTGGCGGTGTCTCACCCCGTCTCTCGGAAAGCACGTTAACCCGTTGATCTTACGCTTGATCTCTCTCTCTCTGGACGTGTCGAATTGCCTTGTTTTGAACCCCCGACGCAAAAAGAATTCCTTTCACATATTAATATATAGATAAGTAAGATTTACTTAAACAGTGCACAAAGGTTAATACTTCAATCAAGCAATGTAATTTTTTAGCAAATGTAATCTATGTACGAGCTTTTCAAACAACAATCCTCACAAGCATCTCATTTGTAACTGTGTAGTCACAGAGTGGAATAAGCTGCCAGAAATCGTATCAGACCAGACTTACCAGAATCTCAGCCCAAAATGTTAACCAGGGTGCACAAACAGAATATACTGGCATTATTAGTTGTTTCAGCTGCCTAACTGATAAAATAGAATAATAATAATAATAAATCCAGGATATTTTTGGTCTACATTACCATTCTGTATGACGAGAACCTCGTGAAAGCCGAAACAGATAACAAAATATCTGGCTCACGAGGTGACCGACATGTGGGGTGGCCTGCCCACCAAAATTATACCTGTAGTTGTTTCTGCGAACGGGCTAATTCCAGTCAGCCTCTCGGGTCATCTGAGTCGACTGGGATCCGGTGACGGACCGCTCCGGGCTCAAATGCAGAAGGCGGTGCTCCTCGATACAGCCCACATCGTCCACCGGTTTCTTTGCCTTTCTCACTAAACCTCGGGCGTTGGTGGCCCATGTCGAGGGCTTCCATCTGATTGGTTTTTTATTTATTTACGTATTGTTTATGAATTTCTTTCACTATATTAATATATGTATATTTATCATTTCCATTAATATATTTATACAGCCCAACCAGACGAGAGAACTATGTAAATACACCAGAATAATAATAATGATTGTCGTTTACGGTTTTCAATGATGAACGAAATATGATGTATTTTCAAGTACCGGATCGCTGCCTGGGGACAAAGGAAATGCGTCAAAGGATCTCGTGGAAGAAAAGGCAGACTTGAATCTATACCCCTCATTCGAGATGAACCCATATATAACTGAGTATATGAACGACGAGGCCATGTTAGCTTTTAGGTGAGTTTTAATTAGTCCCTTAAAAGCATTTTAGTGATAGAACTCACAATAAATATATTCGCAGTAGACAAGGGTAACACTGCGCTGTGCCACAGTCTAACTACTACTAACAGTCAGTCATCGAAGGCGTCTAGATGGGGCAATCGTGCGCTGCGGTGCGGGACGACACGTGGTCGGAAAGTTCCCGAGTCGCTGTTAGTAGCTCGGGAACTGTCTGCTAGGGTTGTCCTGTCACGCAAATAAATTAAAATGGTTCACACTACATGTCCTACATGCAGTAATACACTGTGGGTCGTCTTCATTTAAAGATACGGAATAAAAGTTTCAGCATTTTCCATATACACAGGAATTTGTGTATACATACGTGAAATAAAATAAAATCATTTTTTATTACTTCGCGTTCTGATAACCCTAGCAATTTATTATTTATGTCGTCTTTTCCGAGAACATCAAGCGCGATGACTGACTGTATGTTCTTCTTAGGCTGTGTCTGAGCCGCGCAGTTGCGCTAACTCAGTTCATTGCGCTGATGTGCCAACTAACTTCTTCAATATTTGTTGGCGCACAGCGCAGTATCGGGAAATTTAAAAGGTGTTAAGATGTTGTTATTTTATATTATTTTTATAAATTGCAACTCCGTGAAATGTAAAACGAGTGATACATAGTACCTAATATGTAGGTAATCTTTCTTTTCTACATTTTATTTTATGTACCGGCTACAAAGTTTTATTTTGACAGATGCCTGAGTTGACAGATGTGTTTAAATTTACTTAAGCCATGGTGTAATTTTCAGTTATCGCCTGAGTTACTGAGTTAACGCAAGGAATTTCGCTGAGTCACCCATGTCTAATTCGCAGTAGAACCAGAGTACATAGCACGAATAACCGACAACCGATGGGAAAGAAAGGTTTTCGAGTAGCAGTCATAGTCATAGCTTATTAAAGTTCACTGCTGAATATAAGCCTCCCCCATAGATTCCCTCATAGGGGAGACACTTGCCATATTTGCCACGCATGGCAAGCGGGTTGAATACTGCAGTTTTTTAGTTTTAGTCGTTGTTAGGGAGTCGCTGCTCTCCTGATTTCTTTCTCTTTGTCGCCTCTTACGACACTCACGGGATGATATTGGTTAGTGGATATACTTACACACACATTACATATTAGTATTACATTATAACACGTGTATAATACTGATATTTAACTAAGAAATGTAAATTAGTCGTGGTAAATTATTCATATAATTAGATCATTCGCATTTGCGCATTGTGTGCATAGTGTCCGTTTCCGAGATATCATTTTTTTATTAAGATTTTTGGCTTGGATCCTTGTCCTTTAAGCCATGTTTTCATTTATCTTTGTATCACATAACAATCCTTGCGTCACATTGCGTAGTTTTTGGGAGATTTTGACAGCAACTTGTGCCAGCAGACAGTTGGCGATGCTATCGTATATAGTATTGCTGATAGACACCTTATATTGAGATTCACATCAGCATCGGAGCACTTGTTGCACAGTTTCCACTAATAGTACACGAAATTGCACCACTTTTACGTATCAAAATCCACTTCAACCCATAATTTGAACAATAATACAGGAGCAGCATCCACCGCCGGTTAAGTTCCCGCTAAAACTTCTTTCCGAGATATCGCTTATGCATGCCCACAGATAACCTGTAGTTAAATGTAACCAAAGCTACAAAAGCAATATTTTATATAATTTAAAATCCTCACATTGTAAGACACAGTCAAGTTTATTTTTTCTTTTTTAGAGAAAAGGCAAAAGAAAAAATCCAGTATGCCAGCGCAGCTTATAAGTGCGATCTTTGTATAATAGATTTTAGCAGTCAACAGCAGGTCGACAAACACTGTAAACTGGCGCATAAAGCCGTAAGTGAAATGTTTATAGTTTTTAAATAATTCTTACTCTTATCAACCTAAGCACCAAATACCATGAGTGTACGACTGGACAGGGACATTTCTAAGTTGGAAAGATTTACCGTAACCTAAGTACATCGGTGGCGACCGAATTCTTTCTGATCGCCTTGATTCACTGGTGCTGCGAAAATATGTTGCATCTCTTTTCGTATTTTAAAGATATTTTGTTTACTAAAACATGTGTAAGCTGTACATTGCATGAGCAGAGATATATTCTTGGTGTTAGTGTTGTTAGTATCAACATGTCTTATCGATATTCGGCGTGTAAAATTTAAAGTGTTAGATTGTTAGTTTCATTTAACATTAGCAAAGTCTATCAATATACGAAGTCAGTGAAATTATTACTTACAACAATCACAATTAACCTTTTGACCGCCACGCCAAAAACGCATTATCGTGCCCTGTACGCCAAAGCGAAAAGTAAACAAAAATACCTACGAAAAAAATAGTGCTGCCAAGAGTTGATATATCGATAACACAAAATAACTTGTTTATGTTGGTTTTTTATGCAATAAATGACTCTACAATCTGGTATGGTTTATTTAATCTTGTGCTGTCTTCCACTATTTTTATATATGTACTTTGTATATAAATAAAAAACAAACAATAACAATAAAATAGTAGTAAACCACTGCACTATTCTCCGTCGTGATGACGTCACTGTCACGACTGGACGACAACGGCGTAGCTGACCTTCCTTTTTGAAACTTTCTTAGAGATGTAGCCGTGTCACACGTTGTGTATCGATTTCGAAATCGATCTAACCAAAATATACAGACATCGATTCAAAATATTTTATGTGTCGGGGGAGACGTAGGCCAAGTGAAGCACAGAAGAAAAGTCTTACGCTCTTAAGACAATGGGGGCTTGATATGACGCTGATGCTGCCAGATGATTTTGAGATTGAGAAAGAAAATAGCACAACACAAAATGAAAAATTGGTCTTCATAATATATTAAGTAAAAAAAAACCACATTTATTATTTGTAATTTTAATTAATGACGCGCTAAGGATGCGCCAGAGTTGAGATATTAGATTTATTATGCGAAGATGATTTAATAACATTTTTTTTATTCATGTAGCTAATTATAGTTTTATGTTTCTAACCGTTTGTTTTATTCGAATATCAATAATAATAGAAAAAAAAAATAACACGTTTGAGCTGAGTTTTGGCTAGTTTTCAAGAAATCTATGCCTCCCGCGCACGACACTAGCGGTCAACGATAGACGACTTTGGCGTGCTGGACATAGTATTTGCTTAGATAAAAATCCATTTTTTTTTTAGTTCAATGTTTCTTAGTACTTGTGGCTCTAGGAGACTTGTTTTTTTATACTCACATGTTGCTGGGGTTATTCTTTTTTGTGGAGTGTGGAATTAAAACACCAGTAATAATTTTTCCAATAGCTATATTTAATATTTTTGTGGGCCGGGTTTTTTGTCAACTATAGACGTCGTTGGCGCTCAGGGCCCGCAGGTGCTTGTCAAGTATAGGCGACTTTGGCGGTCAAAATGTTAAATATACATATAGGTGTAAGGCAATTATTTAATTTCAAAATTTATCATTGAGAAAGTCAGTTACAGTGTAGTAGCATTTTTCAATTAAAAGGTTTTTGAATTTATTTTTAGAAAGATTGCTGTTCAGTGATTTATACATCTGAGGAATTTTATTATATATTTGAGGAGCCATGCATACTACACTCTTTCTTAGCAGAGCCGTTCTCGCTTGTTGCAAGCACAATTTACTTCCATTGCGACGGTTGCGGTTTATCGCATCTACCACGAGGAGTGCTCAGAGGAATTGTGCAGACTAATTCCAGCTGTTCATTTTCATACTCGCATATTGTAGTCAATTCCAAAAGTAAGTTGTGCGAGGAAGAAAACTTCTTTTGAATCGCACAGTGGGGATGGTATAGTGAGTTTTGTCACGATATGCGAATATACAACCACAACATCGTCGGACATTTCTTGAATAGCATTAGACTTAGCAGAGTAGGCTTCCTCTTTCTTCGTGATGTGTAGTGTATACATAGCTTCAGGAATGTTTCCCTCTTTGTGCCCAACACACAGATCGCATTGATCTTTCCGTGGCTTAAAAATTGAAATTTTATTATCTTTTAAAATTTCCTGAAACCGTCTTTTGTGTACTGCAGAATAGTTGTTCTCTTGGCACCAAGCTGTGTAGACCGTATGCATGTGTGTCATTGACTCGAAAGAGGCTTCCACATAAACACGACTAGTGTTGCTTCGGCAGTAATGGCTGGGTACCTTTGGTATTATTTCAAGCCATTTCATAACTGACTCAGACCTAAGAACCCTGGTACCAGCCCGATTAGAACTATCAGCAGCTACTCTTCTGACTATGTTAATCGCTCCACTATTTGTTACATCAATGTCAAACTTCGACCTTATCCACAACTGTAGGACATCTTTTTTTAAGTCTAATGTGGTTAAAAATAACTGCTTGCGAACACGTAGTTTAATACCGTCAAGCCCCGGTAAATAGCAATCAAACCCGCAATTCTTTTTATTAACATCTGCGGAGACATTTCTACGGCGAACAATCTGCCTCGGTTGGATAAGGCCGTTTACGTAGGCTTTCTTAGCATCCCATGTAGGGAGTTGTCAAAAATAATGAAATATATCTGCGCGCATATTATCGGATATTGCAGCGCAGGCAAAACTTCTTTCGGAAATTTTAGCCGCTCCATGTTCACAAGGCTTTTTCTCTCATTTTTGTATTTGGTTTCGTAACTTCTTGTATTCTAATTTTATCTTCTTCTCTAACAACTTGTTGCCCTGTATAAGTCATGCCTAAAAGCCTTAATTTTTGAGCCTTCTTTCTTTTTTTGTTCTCACTAACAGCCACTTCCTCCTCATTTTGTGGGATGGAAGTGCAAATATTTTCTTTTTCAAAGAGCGGTTCAAAATATCCAGTTTGTTCAATCAACTGCAGCATAACGTCAGCAGGAACTGGTGTGTTAGTAATGTTTGCCTCGTTATCATTTTGTATTTCTAAGCAGGAATCAGATGTTATGCTGATATTAGCAGCAGTAGTAGTAGTTATTAAACTTTGAGTTGTACCTGTAATCCCTGAAGTTAATTCCGCATTTGTAGTGCAAATCATATATGTGAGGTCGGTAAAAGTACTCATGCCAACGTCGGCGTGTTCACCTTCGTCAACAGCTTGAATAATTATCGATGGAGCTGGAGGTGGAGGTGATGGAAATAATATTGAAGATTGTTCTTCTAGCTCCATTGTTAAATGGTGTCCATCCATACCATCTGGATGAGTGGCGGTCTACCACTGTGCGATTTAGAAGAAGTTTTCTCCCTCGCAAAACTTCCTTGAGGAATCACTTACCACCAGCGAATTTTCCGGACCGATATGACTTAGGAACCTTCAAGAAAAGAGCTTACACCTTTCTAAAAGGCCGGCAACGCATCTGCAATTCCCCTGGTGTTGCGGTTGTTTATGGGCGGCGGTAGTCACTTACCATCAGGTGAGCCGCATGCTCGTTTGCCCCCTCTTCTATATAAAAAAAAAACTCCGGCCTTTTTAGCCAAACTATTACCAATATTAACATATCAAATATCAAAATAAAGCTAGAAATATATGTGGTTAGATTTTGTTTTTATATGTTTAAACATTAAATATTTTTTTTTTATAGGATAAGGGTGACAAACGAGCACACAGTCCACCTGATGGTAAGTGATTGCTGCGGCCCATAGACATCTACATCTATCCTCTGTTACAAATCAAAATGTAGATGCGTTGTCACCCGTGAGGACTAAGATGGAATGCCTCATTTCCAGTAAAAAGGGCCTCCGGCCACCTGCACTCACCAAGCGAAACGCAGAAGTAAACCTCTACTTCACGCTGGTTTTCTGTGAGGTCGTGGTACTATCCCTTAGCTTGCTTTTCATTATCAGATTCCGAATCAGTGTTGTGTTCACTGTGAATGAATTCACCATTTTCCCTATCCGAGTTGTGTATGTCGTTATTTGTGGGCATCATGACACTGTGTGACTGGCCAGCATCTTCATCGTCAGTCTCTTCATTCATAATTTGTATGATTAATAATTCCACATCAGAATCCGCCTGGTTTTCATTCATATTTACAACTTTATGTTGTTTTAGATACATTTTACAAACCTACAATAAAAGAAATCAAAATATATATGTTTTTATATAAATAATACGACAAATAATTTTATTTGTTTGAGAATCGTACCAATTAAATAAAAATATTAACATAATTCACTAGTATGAGTCCATGTCCAACTACGCGTCACAGGCGCACGACCTCTCGCTACCGTAGTGCCCGCGATACTATAGGCAGGTACTAAAGCGGGGGAGGAAACCAGTCACTAGAACTAAAATTTATAACGGTTTAAAATTTCGATGTGAGTCCAATGGTTACTCAGATAGTGAATTAAGGATTAAGTAATTCATCAAAATTCTTAATATTCGAGCATGGCATCTTGTCTTTGATGTCTATACTAAACAAACCATAAATAATATCTAGTTGCTGCTTTTCCGTGCGTATGAGGTCTGAGAGTTGTGGACAAAGAAGGCGCTTATTACGCACAAATTTATTATTACTAGGAGGTACTTTTCAAAACTTGACTATTCCACTTTTTGTGTTTTTGTATAATTTAAAGAAATATAATTTTAAGAGCACAGTTATGTGTTTAATATAAAATGTTGATGAATTATAATATACAACAAAAATAGTGATTATTTTGTATGACTTTCAAATTTTTTGCAGTAATATAATATAGAATAAATCTAGAATTTTAAAATGGAATAATCAAGTTTTGACTATGCTGCTTGGAATAATAAAGTTTTGTTATGTGCTTTAAAGGAATAATCTAGTTTTGATTCAAACCATTGTGGATTAATATTATTTTGTTGAAATTAATTTAAAATGGTATTTTACTTAATAAAATT